ATTGGGCTGAGGAGATAGCTCAGTGGCATAAGTGCCAGCCTGGCAAGTGCAAGGTCCTGAGTTCAATCCCTGGTAAAAAGAAAAAAGTGACATTGCTTTACATTTTTTTGCAGATCTTCACACTGACTTGGTAGAAGACAGCTAAATTTTCCTGTCTGCTACTGCAGTTAATCTCTTATACTGTAACATAGCATATAGTATCTGGAACACTCCAGTATGCACTCATGAAAATAAAACTAGAAAAGGTATTATGTATTATAAAAATAATTTTGCCTTACAGATCCCTGTAGAAGATTAATACCATTGTAATTCCCGTTTGACACACAAAGAAACAGAAGCACAAGGAGAGCCAAGTCACTTACCCCGCAGCCGCAGGGTGGAGGCAGGATTCAGTCAGGCAGTCTTTGCTTTAAAACCTGTCGTCATTCAGTTCTCTACATTGCCTCGAGGTAGAAGCTCCTGCCTTCCTAGAAATGGCTGTGGGAGAGCTTTGTGAATAAGATACTTGACTGCTGTCTTCATTTTTGTATCTACAAAATAGAACTTGATTTATGATTTTTTATGTTATTTATCGTTCCATATTTAATCTTTTTTTTTTTTTTTTTTGCGGAACCAGGGATTGAACTCAGGCCCTTGCGCTTGCCAGGGAAGCGCTTATTCCACTGAGCCATCTCCCCGGCCTCGTTCCATATTTAAGACTTGCCATTTTTAAAAAATTTAGATTGTTATTAGCTGGCCTAATTAAAATAATTGACAGCTAAAAGCTATCAATTAATTGGGTTTTTTATGTATTGAGTACAGGGCCTACAAGGTCTCACTACGTAGGTAAGACTCGTAGTGATCCTCCTGTTCAAAGCCTCCACGTGCTGGGGTTACAGGCGTGCACCACCACACCCACTCTCAATTGCCCTCTCAGCGCGCCCTGGGGGCAGGACCAGCAAGGCATGCTGGGGATCGAGCCCCCAGCCCCTGCATCTGCCCAGGCAGGTGCTTTAATCCACTGAGCTATTTGGCCGGCCCAATTAATTGTTTACAGTGAATAACCATGCCTTTCAGCTTCCTGATTTTATGTTTTATAATTGTAAGGATAATTTTCTTACAATATATATCATGAGGGGAAAATGTTTAGAAAGCAAATTTCCTGCTGAGTCACTTTTATCCCAGTAACTTATCAGTAACTATTTTTCTCTATCCTGTTATCATTGAGAAAGCTTTTGAGTCTTTGTATTTGAAGAAAATAATTAAGAGTATGCTCTATGAAGTTGCAGTGAAAAGAATTAAGGAAACTTCAGGAATGCCCTCACTTCTCTCTTACATTCCTGAAAATTAAAGTTTCATATACTTCTCCTAATGTAAAATCCTCACACCTGGTCTAATACAGGCTTAGCCTCCTAAAAGTGTAAATGTGTTTGCCAGTGCACTCCTGGAGAACAGATCCTTCAGGTAAGCGGTGTCTTCTGTGAAGGCAGAGTGCTGCTGCGTTCATGTGTTCACATCACATGCATGCGTGCTTCTGCAGAGAGAGCCGGTGTGCTGAGTTTCATTTTGGAGGATTGCCTGAGAGCATGATCTTTTCAAAGTGTGTCCCTTCCTTATTTTAAGAGAAAGAAAATATAATTTCAGGTGTCAGGTATGATATTCCAGGCAAAATTTGAATCCTGGAAACTCCTGACTATGACCCTGCAATTATTGTTTTGTCAGTACTGTTGTGACATTTCGTGGTGAGTTGTCTTCTGTTTGAATTGGCATTTTTTGGTACACATTAAGATTTATTTTGTTCATTTTAAAATACATATATGTATATATAAAGACATTGACAATAGAAAATACTGATAATCATTAACTCTTTTATGGTACAGAGGTGATGATCGTAGCAAGTTTATAATAAATGATAAAAAAGTAACCATAATCATTCAAAAATTTATGATAAGTTTAAAATGATAAAATAAGTACTTCCTGCTCGTTTGTTCACACTGTATTTTGTTTTTATTTTTCCTTTCAAGGAGTCTTCTAAAGTCTGTTGAAGAAGAATTGCACCAGCGGTAATTTTTTATTTTAGTTAAACTCAAAATACTTAGGTCACAGATGAATTGATCATTTTTCCCTTCTCTGTCATGGAGAGACTATCATTTTGTTTTAGTTTTCAAAACATCCTACAAAGATAAAGGAATAAAATTTTATCCTAAAGTAGCTCTTACTGCAATTTCTAAATTTTCAGAGTCTTTTTGGTAAAGTCTGTTTCATTTAATGATGGCATTTATTCTTCTTTAGAGGACATGTGGCACATTTGGAGGATGAAGAAGGAGATGACGATGAATCTAAACAGTAAGTTCTGTTTCTCTTTTTGGCAAAAAGAAAAGATGTCATTTGACCTGGCAGCTTAACATTAGATGATTTTAATATGATAAGTGACACAGTATCAAAGATTGTAATAGTTTCATTTTCACTATCTCAGTTGTCTCAGGCTCCTGGCACTGCCTGCCGTAACATACTCTGCGCTGGGTGACAACACCAGTTGCTTTTCACGGTTCCAGAGCCTAGGACTTTCAGGAAGATCCTGGTGGCTGCCAGTTTGGCTTCTGATGACAGACCTCTTCTGGTGGCATCATCACAAGGCTTTTGTCACTGTGTGCAGTATCAGGGAAGAGGGCAATATCTCTTGCTTTTCTTCTCAGGCCATCCATCCTGTGGAACTAGGACACCACCACCATTGCTCTATTGGATCCTAATTACCCCCTAAAAGCCCTGTCTTCTAAGTTCACTTGCAGTTAGGTCTTCAACATGTAAATCTTTTTTTTTTTTTTTTTTTAAAGAGAATAAAATAGACAATAGGTAAGACATTAGAAGAATGGAGAATTTCACAAAAGCCAAGATGATAGCAATTCAACAATGGTTGTTATGTTGCACATTGTTGTCTAGTAGTTGCTCAGATTACCAAAAGTACAATAGACAGAGTAACAAAGAAACTGCTGGAAGGGAAATAACATGTGAATTTTTAGATGATTTAGTCTGTGACACTAATTGAAAACAAGAAACTGGGAAAAAATAACAAAGAAATTTTTCGTTGTAGTTCAGTTGGTAATTATTGCAACTATGAAGTTTCATATATTTAATTAAATGTTTATCTGATATGTTGAAAATAAACATATTTTAGATAAATACCTTGTGTATCTTTAAAAGGGAAAAGCTTTCATTATTAGGAATGCATCCACATTCGGTCCTTCTTGGCTTGATTTGTTTTGGCTGCTAAAGAAAGATCCTGTTTCATCATACTCAGGAACACCTGAGAAGCGCTGGGAGCAGTTTTTTCTCTCCACTTCATTACCTGGACTGTAGTCAGGTCATGTAACCTCAGCCTCAATGTCCTCATCTGAGGAGTTTGTGCATCATCGCCTTTTAATTCTGTCTCTAAAAGTGATCATGATTTGTATGAATTTTAGCTTCATTATAACTCTGCCTGTCCTTTCGTAGAGCACTTGTAAAGCTGTAATGAACATCATGAAAAATCATCTCAAACAGCAAATTGAAGCTTATAGCATGATATAGTTATATATCATTTTCCTTAAACCAAGTATTGCTTACATTTTTATATTATTTTCCTCTTAATGGATATAAAATTGTGTTTTCCAATTCAGTTACATTATAGAATTTGAAGCCACGAAGGCACACCTACCCAGTCATTTCTGAATAAAACCTTATTCAATATAACTTGACATTTTACAAATTATTTTGGGAGAAAAATATATCCTTAGAAAATGGTACTTGTTTTCACGTTTTTCTTCTGTAACTTTGAACATGAATTTTGGTAATGGTTCATTATAAGATGAAAAATTCTGATTATAAACTCTTTTTATTTTTAGCTCGACAATGAAAGTGAAAGTTCCACCACCTTTGCCACCAAAGGTAGACAGGTTTACTTTTCAGTTTGGATTGCTTATGTGCATGTGGGTGTTGTACAGCACTGATATTTTCATTTGCAGGCTACAAAGAAAGCTTGTGAAGCTGCTAACTGGGATCTAAGAAGATAGTTTAAATTATTTTGTCTTTTAAGAAATACCCAGTGTATCATTTAGGACTCTTTCTAAGCAGTAAGCTCTAGTCATTTATACAGTAAAAATAATCACATTAGTGAGTAAGTGTTACTTCATTGTGGGTTAGAAAAGTAGCATTTCTTGTTAGATTTTCCTTCTCAAAATAACTGATTCTTAATAATGATAGCAATGTCACTGATATTTAATTTTCAGAAGATAATTATAAATTAAAAGTGCAAAATGGGGCAGTAACTTTTTTTTTTTTTTTTTTTTTAAACGGAACCAGGAATTAGGCCCTTGTGCTTGCTAGGGAAGTGCTTATTCCACTGAGCCATCTCCCCGGCCCCAAGGGCAGTAACTTTAAAAAATCTTTAACAACCGAATCCTTTTGCAAAGCAAAATCATCATAAAATAATAAATATTTCCAACTAATGGAGTTTTAGTTAAGTGAGTTAGCATAGATAGGTAGTGGTAATATAAATTTATTTTAGAAG